ACGGTAACGGTAACGGTACGGTACGTAACGGTACGTACGTACGTACGGTACGTACGTACGTACGTACGTACGACGTACGTACGTAGAGAGAGAGAGAGAGAGAGAGAGAGAGAGAGAGAGAGAGAGAAGGGCAATACCGGGCCTTATTTTTGTTTGGTGGATTTGAATTTCTTCTTTTTTTGTTTTTTTAAGGGATGGCACTAGGTGGGTGCCCAGATCGCCTAAGTGCGCCTTGATCGCCTAGGCGCTCACCTAAACCCCACCGCCTAGGCGGTTTGTTGGCCAGGCAGCAAGGCTTTCGTTCATTGGTTTGGTAAAACACAAAAAGGAACAAAAGGAGACTTGTCATTTGGATAAGTCTTATTATGGTTCTTTTAGAGGTGGTGATTCAGGTTGGAAGTATGATTATAACCCGAATCCAAATGATAAAAATTGTATAAGATATAATTTTTGTGAAAAAGCGACCAACAGGGGTATTAACCGATTCAAGAAACACATTGCCGACATTAAAGGGAATGTTGTTTCTTGTAAAAAGGTTCCTGAAGCTATTTGGGATGAAATTAAACAATATTTGAATTTGGTAAAACCAGAAAAGGAAGAAAATGCACCTTATTATATGGAAATATCTTCAAAGGTTTTCTAGAAGTGGTGATTCAGGTTGGAAGTATGGTCATAACCCATGTCCAAATGATTAAAATTATATAAGATGTAATATTGTGAAGTCATGCTATTCTTCCTACGGTACCCTTCAAGAGTAAACTCATGTACTCACTCCCACGCACGCCAGTCAGCGGGACCGAAGAGAGAAATGAGGGGGGAGTGTTCGTTAGGAACCGTGGGGGGTGGGCAGGATAATTGGTTCATAAATCCCTACACTCCAGCTAAAGCAAGAGCAATGATTTGAATGTATATGGTAGACCCTATTGAATGACAAAGGATAGACTGGACCACATGTACCAATGAATCATTATTTACCAGTTCAAGAAACACCGTACCAATATTAAGGGAGATGTTGCCCATTGTAAAAATGTTTCTAAGGCTACTAGGGCTCAGTAAAACACAAAAAGAAAAAAATAGGTGAAAAGGCACCAAGTAGAGCAGCCAAGACTCTTAGAGCCTCTGGATCATCTGCATAGAGCAAGAGGGGGGTAGAAGAAGAGGAGGAAGAGGGGGGTAGAAGCAATTGATTAAGAAGTTTAGGGAGAAGAGAAAAGACCTCTACATGATCTCTATTGATTTAGAGAAAGCATATGATAGGGTACTTAAAGAGTTAATTTGGTAGACATTGGAGAAGAAAGTAGTCTTTAGAAGATATATTGACATGGTGAGAGATAATACTCGAGGGAGAGCTAACTAGTCTAAGAACAACTAGTGGAGTGACGAGTTGTCAGTGACATTAGCTCTAATCAGGGTTTACTGTTGAGCCCATATCTTTTTGTTTTAGTTATAAACGAGTTAACTAGATATCTACAAGATGATGTACCGTGGTGTATGTTGTTTGCGGATGGCATAGTTTTGATTGATGAGACTAGAGACAGTGTCGATGCAAAGTGAGAACTTTGAAAGGATGCTCTAGAATCCAAAGGTTTTAAAATTAGTCGGACTAAAACATAATATGTGGAATGCAAGTTTAGTAATAATACGAGTAGAAATGAGAAAGTTGGAAAGATTGCTAGACAAGAACTACCTAAAAGACATTATTTTCGATATCTTGGGTCGATAATCCACAAGAATGGAGAGATTGAGGAAGATGTCGTTCATAGAAATAGAGCTGGGTAGACGAAGTCGAGATGTGCTTCTAGAGTTTTATGTGATCGTCAAATACTAATGAAACTGAAAGGGAAGTTCTATAGGACAACTGTAAGACTAGCCATGCTTTATGGGACAAAATGCTGGGCGGTAAATAAACAACATATCCATAGAATACAATTGATGGAACTTAAGAGTGGCTCCAATAGGTGTTAAGGTGAGGGAAAGTAGACTTAAGTGGGCTGGCCATATGCAGCATCGACTTAGAACAACACTAGTTAGGAGGGGTGATTTGGTTCAAGTGGAAGGCTTTAAAAGGGCAAGGGGAAGGCCTAAAAGGATATGGATGGAAGTACTAAGAGCAGATATGGTGACTTATGATCTGACTAAGGGTATGGGCTTTGATATAGTGGAATGGCAGAACATGATTCATGCAGCCAACCCCAAATAGGTGGGATAAGGCTCGGATGATGATGATGATAATGTTCAAGGATATTAAATGTTCATACAATAAATAAAACAACCAAAAGTCCTAACTTAAGTGACTTTGAAAATAAATAACACTAACTATAAATAAAATGACTAAAAAATCCTAAGTGAAATAAAATTTATAAAAAGTCCCCAAATTGTCCATCTAATAAAAAGAATAAAATAATCTAGAAAAAACCCTAAAGTGGCTAGAAAATTGTCTCATGCATTGCTTGCTCTTCTTTTTCTTCTTCGCAGCCCTCCTAAGGTTCACATCCTCTAAGTATGCGCAAACATTAGGAGGAATCTGAAGCTCCCAAAGATGATACTCGTTGCCTTTTCCACTTGAGGCATTTTGTGCATCATCAATTTGTCCTCTTAGGAATTAGCTTCTTCTTATTTACTGTTATTGTATTATGTTATTTTATAGTTCTTATTATTTACTGTGTTATTTTTTTTCCCTCAGCCAAGGTGGGATCTCCACATCCTTTGTACTTACTGAACTTTCATAAAGCTTCTTCCTATATTTTATAGTATTTTTACAGCCTGTGTTACAGCAAGAAGGAAATACAAAAAGAAATGAAATAGAAGAGCTAAGAGTGAGAGAAAGAGAGCTAAATAAAGCCAAAGAGAGGTATAAGAAGTTGATGCCCTTCTTCCTTAACTTCATATACGGTTTTCGAAAGGAGTCATCAATTATTGAGAAGGGATTCTCATATTTTGAGGTGGCAGGATATCCTTAGGATTTAAAGCTATTGTTCTATAATTTTGTTGACACATGATGATCTTATCTGTCAGTAATTTATTTTTACAATGTTGATTTGACAAGTTGTGATTTTATCCTTTAGAGAATCTACTTTTGTTTTATTGTTTTTAACACGTAGTGATCTGTGAAGAATCTTTTCGTACTGTTA